CCTCACCGGCCTCCTTCCCTCTGTGCCTCGTTTCCCTGTCTCTGGGAGGCCCCTGCACCCTCACCCGAGGGCTCCTCTCCCGCTCTCTGGCCCCTTTCCCTCTCCACACTCCCTCGGTGCTCTGAGGTTTCCGAGTTCTGAGCAGACCATGGAGTCCCTCCAGGGATCTGCGGAGGCTTTGTGGCAGGAGGATGGACAGCCTGGAGGGGGCCTGCCAAGCCGGAGGCCCCAGGATGGAAGGGCCTTTGTGACACCCATTTTCTCTCTTTTCTGTCTGTCCTGCACCATGGACGCTGCCTGGAGGAATCATGCCTGCCCCAGGCCCAGGAAGGAGGAAAGAGGCACAGGCTCAGAGACAAGGAGCGCTGTCTAAAGACGCACAGCAGGTAAGTGGCAGGGCCGGGATGGGTGGGCCACCCTGCGGTTGGCCAGGAATTGGCTCCTTCTTGGCTCTGCTGACCCAGGACCCCTGTCTGAGCTGGGTGAGAAGGGGCCGCCTCCTGTCTGCTCTGTTACCCTCCCCAACCCTCCACCCCCTTCTCTTCCTCAGGCAGCACGGAGCACATCAGCGCTGGGAGGACCTCAACCGAACCCCACTTCACAGATGAGAACAGAGGTGCCCAGTGTTCCTGACGACCAGCATCTGCTAGGACAGTGGCTCCACGGGGACCCCAACCTTCCCGAAGGACCAGCAGTGCCCCCTGCAGGGCACTTCTCCCCAACAAGAGGGACCACGTGGGTCTGCATGCCGCCTGAGAGGCAACCTCAGACCGGGTGGAGTCATCTATCGCCACCTAGTGGCAAAGGACGGAACTGCACCCCAGCTGTATTAGACACGAGAATGCCCTGAACAAAAACAGGCAGCGCCTAGAATGCTGGGGGGGGGGGGGCGGCGCAGGGGACAATTTGCAAAATTCTGTAAAAATAAAAACGGTTACTCCTAGTCAATACGTAAATATACTCAGTAAGCTTCTTGGTATGCAAACTTAAACCTCTGGATTCCACATGTGTTTTCAAGTCATTCTATGGGTGGATTCGCTCCTGCATTGCCATGGAAATGCATATATGACTGTGATGGGAAACAAAGGAAGGTGGGATTTGGTTTACACAGCTTGCTTGGGAGCCTATTTCTAGGAATTGGGCCCAACTGAGTTTGTTTCCTTTGTAATGACAGTTATACCTCGCTGAACAAAGGTGGGTGCAAAGGTGAATGACTGACAGCTAAAGAGCCCCAGTAATTGGTCCCTGATCCTCACCATGGAGTCTCTCTGACGTGTTAAATAAAGGAGCCTACAGAATTGTTTCTAGAAGCCACATGCTATAACACACAATTTGGGGGAATAAAGAGTCTTTAAAATACTAAAATTAGCCTTAGATATTTTAAAAGATTGCTGGTCCCACAACTCTGTGCTAAGGACACCTAAATGCCAATATGAAATCCTAGCCTGGGAAAGGGGAGTTTCCTCAATGCCAGGGAGCAGGTGACACTTTGTGGGGCAAAGAAGGGCATCCAAGGGGTGAGGCAGGAAGTTGGGGGGAGGGGCAATCCCTTGACTGAGCATTTGCCTTGCAGGTGCTCTCCCATCTGAGACCAGGTCAGGAGGCAGGGTGACGGCAGAGGGAGGGCTGAGCTCAGTGGGGACAGAGAGGAAGGGATACAGCAGAAAGAGGAAGGATGGGGCCGACGGGATGGAGCGTGAGCATGGTGCCTGTGGTCTGGCCTGGTGGTACCTAACTGACTCATTAATTAAGGCTGGGGATGATAATGAGGCTGATGAGGAGGAATTGGTCAGAAACTAACAGGCCTCAAAGGCTGGGCTGAGGGGCTGGGACTCGGTCCTGAGGCGCCGGGGAGCTGGGGAGGGCTGGGAGCAGGGGAGGAACGGACTGGAGGGGCCCACTGGAGGCCAGGAGGTCAGGGAGGAGGCTGGGCTGATGGTCCAGGCGGGGGAGAGGACAAGGCTGGGGCCACAGGAGCAGAGGTGAAGAGCCGAGGCAGGGAGGAATGGTGGGCCGGGGCAGGGCAGCGCTCCGGTCTGTGGGGCTGGGTAGGTGGGGGCACCACTCACTGGCATAAGGATTCCTGGAGAAGCTCCACTGGGGCGGATGGCGGCTCTGACTGCCTCAGTGGGCCCTGAGGCTCGTCCTGCAGGAGGAGCCAGGGTCTGGAGACCAGCGGGGGGCTGAGCTGGAGATGGGTTTGGGAATTGTCAGTGAAGAGAGGCTGCTGGAACCTCCGGTGGCTGAGACGGTCTCCCAGCAAGTCCCCATCTGGCCGTGTGCCCTGGAGACACGCGCGTGTGTGTGAAATGACGCACGTACACGGTGATTCCCACAGCACCGCTGGAAACAACCCGAGGGTCCATCGACAGGGGTAAATGAAATCAACTCCGAGCAGCCACGTCAGGGAACAAGGATGTGCTTTATATCAGAGACGGAAACCTCTCCAACTTACGTCAGGTGGGGGGGAAAAAGCTAGAGCAAGGTAACTTGCAAAACTATTCCCATCCACATTTGCTTGTTTACGTAGAGAACATCTCCAGAGCACTGTTGTCCCCTGTGAGGGGAACGGGTGTCGGGCTGGGGTGAGTGGAAGGCTCTTTGCTTGGATCCTTCTGTATCTTTGGAGTTTCGTGCTACACGCCGATACTCCGGTCAATAAAATGAAACAGTGACGAGTTCTCCAGGGACAGGCAGGAACTGGAAGAGACGTTTAATAAGGACAGAGCCCCACGGGGCCTGAACCAGCTCAGACATTGACTAGAACACACCACAGAAGGACTCTGCCAGCTTGAGAGCAAGCGCAACAGTCTTAGAGGAAAAGAATGGAATCAGATAAAGACCTCGAATCTCAATCTGTAAAAAAATGACAAAACGGTCCAGCAAATGACGGGGGGAGAACGCATCTGCAAATCAGACAAAGGGGTAAGAACCCCGAGTCAGGAACGCTGTCCCGGAGGGCATCGGGAACAGCTCAGGGGTGATCTAGGAGGAGACAACAGAACTCGAGGGAACGCAGAGAGGACAAACAGCGCCCGCTGTCTCGTGCTGACGGAGGAAAACATTAAGTTAGAACAACTCTCCAACACCGTTTTATGTATTAAAGCTACAAAAAGCTGATAAAACAATAACCCCCAATGCTGGCAGGTGTGTAACACAACCGACACACTTGAGAATACCGAGGAAATGTAAATCGGCAGGACCCTTTGGGACTTCCAGGCCACCTGTCCCCGCCGAGGGGCGTGGCTGGCCCCCAGGGTGGGCTCTGAGCCTGGCAGGGCTGCTGATGGAAGAGACAGGGCAGGGAAGGGCTGCAGCAGGCCGCGAGTCCAAGGGCATGAGAAAACGGGAGGCGTTGAGGTCTCAGCAACGTCAGATGAATCACAAGAGGAATTCGAAACCGTAAACGCTGGCACTGAGCAGAGGACAAGAGCTCTCAGGAACTACCAACGGTGCAACCTCGCTCCCCCCGGTTCTTGCATGTGAGCAGCGTGTCGGGACATGGGGACTGGGGTTTGCCCCGTGGAGGGCGGCTCAGCAACATGGCTCAGATTCTCGAATGCCATCTCCCTCTGGCCGGCCCTTCCAGTCCTGGGGTTTCACCTCAGTCACACCTGCGGCCCGGCGGCGGCGGGAGGGCTGAACGGGCCCTGGTGCATCTCTCCGGTGGAGCACAAAGGACGAGGCTGCTCTCTGGGCTCCAGTAAGGAAAGATCCCCGGGGACACTGTGCAGGTGCAACGCAGTGAGGGCGGGACGGCGTGCGGAACTCAAGACTTTTGTGTCACAAAGAGGGGCGATAACACACGTCCCTGTTGCTCACGCGGGAGGACACGCTCTGGGGGGCAGTAAACGGGTACCAGGGACTGTGCAGACAGGACTCCCCACCGCGCACCCTCTTCTGCTGCTCTGACAGTCGGGCCACTCGACGCGTTCCCTGTTCGTAAACACGTTTCTAATCCGCCACAGTAATTCCACTCTTAGTCATGCATCCCCGGGAAAACAAACTCACACCACCAGGAGCCT